TGGGGAGACAGGTGTTCTGGGTGGTGGATAGGCAGCTGCCGAGGAGGGTGCTGCAGGGCGAGGCGGGGGCGGCGTTCGACGGGACGCGGTGGAAGAGGTACGACGAGAAGATCGACGGGCTCAAGGAGGACGCCGGCTTCCTCGACTACTTGACCGAGGGCGTCGCGGAGCGGAGCCTCGCGGGCGGCAAGGACGCCGTCGAGGGCGCGCAGCAGCTCGCCGTCAACAAGCTCTACCCGCTGGCCTTCATCCGCTTGCTCGAGGCGCAGGCCAAGTTCCAGCGCGACGGCGCCGAGGAGGGCCGCGCCGAGGGCGACGCGCCGCGGAGGAATGATGGGCACGATAAGGACGAGGAGAAGCACCGCTACGACGACCTGGACCGCGACCGCGAGGCCTCCGTCGTGCGCACCACGAGCAGCGGCCTGTACGATAAGGCCCGCTTCCGCGCCGTGGGCGGCGGCAGGAGGGGCCGCGCGCACGCCAGCGACGAGCTCGTGCGTCTGCTGCAGGGTGGCAAGGAGCGCAGAGTTGACCGCGCCGGCATGCTCATCGGCTCCATGGGGCGCGCTGGACGAGTTGCCAGCGTCCCCGTGTGTTGACTCCCCCACCGCCCTCTGGCCCGCCAGCTACCGCAACCCGCAACTCGCCGCTCTCGCGTGTGAATACAAACTAGTGACCACTAAAAATTATCTCGTATGCCACAACCTAAGCGCAGGCCTGCGCAGCGCCCACCAGTCAACCACTTGTTCCGCAGGGATGAATCGAGATGTCTACAAGGGCCAACGGCCCAGACATGCCGGGATTAACCTACGCGTTCGCTCGCCGCGCCCCGCACGGCCGCGCCCTTCACGGGCAGAAGGAGCGCGCCCATTTGAAAACGTGCCAGGGTCGCGTTGCCAAATTATGACCGAGAGAGGCACGGCCGGCATGCGCGAGCAGCGGACGTTTTTATACCGCTTCCCCCAGCCGGGATGCGGGCGTGCTGACCGACGACGCAGGGAAATGGATCACGAAAGGATTTGCGCCTTGAAAAATTTATTACGACGGAAACATGACTAAAAATAATAATAAAAAAACAAAAGTGTACGATCGCCCGTCTGCCAACAACGACACCGATGACACCACCGTCCGTATCCCACGTCTCCACGTTCCCGCCCACCTCCTCCTTCCATGGAGCGTCCCCGGCCCTCTCCCCGCCCGGTCGCCGCCACTCCGCGGTCACCGCGACTCCTCGCTGGCGCCCGACCGCGGCCCGTACGCCCCGTTGGGCGACTTGACTGCGTACGCGGGCTTCACGT